CCCCAAAACCCCAAAACCCCAAAACCCCGTAGGATGATTAAAATTATTGGTTTAAATAAAAATAAATAAATTAAGAATGGAGAAATAAACTAATGGAAATAATTAATTAATAAATATAAAGAAAGTGCAATTGCACAGGCATTAGGTATTGTAAGGACTGCTCCGATCCAGATTTCAGAAGTAATTTCAAAGAACTTTATCCTATAATTGATTCATAAGAAAAATACTCCTCTCTTGTACAGTATGAATAGTGTGAAAAATGTTACATGCTAGTTGATCTCAATAATTAAGAAATAGCCACTTAAGAAGGATCTTGTGAGAATCATTGTGATCCAATAAATATAGATTTTAAAGGACTCTATTCAATAATCGATTTCATCACTCAAGAGTAGGAGCAAGAATTAATAACAGGAATATTTAAACATAAATGGGTCGAGTCATAATCAGGACGCAAAAAGTTAGACTTTGGGCCTTCGGTAAATTTTAAGAAGCAGAAGGTAAAAATAGGGAAATTTTAGGGTTTCCCTTAATTCATCTAACCAATATTTTAAGAAATTGATAATATATCCGATGAGAAGATATAGAAAGTGTTGAAAGATTTCAAAGCTATTGAATTGAATGTTCTTGAATATGATTAGGAAAGGGGGTCAAATATTGCTCCCCATAAAGATGATTTTTGGCTTTGGGGTGAGAGAATTATTGGTATTAATCTTTTGGAAGACACTGTGATGACTTTTACCAGAGAAATTCATGATTAACTTGTAGAAATAATGGTACCTATAAAAAGAAGATAACTATATTTGATAAGTGGGTAGAGTAGATTTGATTGGATGCATGGAATTAAAAGTGAGCATATCAAAGGTAAGAGAGTAGTATGCACGATAAGAGAATTTTCTGAAGAATTCAAGCATGAGACTTCTGAAATTGGAAATAAAATTAGGAAAATTGCTTGTAATTTTATCGATGATTGAACTAAATTTATTATAAAAATATTTATCTCTTTAAATTGATTCAATTAGAGTTTATGGGGTTTTGGGGTTTTGGGGTTTTGGGG